TGTGTGCGTGCGTGTGTGTGTGCGCGTGTGTGTGCGTGCGTGTGAGCGCGTGTGTGTGTGTGTGTGTGCGCGTGTGTGTGTGTGCGCGTGTGTGCGCGTGTGTGTGTGCGTGTGTGTGCGTGTGTGCGTGCGTGCGTGTGTGTGCGCGTGCGTGTGTGTGTGCGTGTGTTGGGTAAAGTATCAGATCTCGCTATCGAACGGAATGCGATGTGTGCGTTTGCTTTCTCACGGATACGTTGGGTTGCTTTTTGTTGTTGTTGGTGTCTGGTTCGTGGGCGACCGTGCACGTGGTGCCACGGCAGCGAGATGTTAACTACCTCGCCAGGTATACAGGAGGTCATGGGTTAGATCTCGACCTTGATACCTGCTGTATATTTAGAATTTGCATGTTCTCTCTTCCCGTGGTCGCGTGGATTTTTCTCCGGGTTTGCCCCCTCCACATTTAGAATCAACATCGCGAGTTTTTGGCCGCTATAAATGTCCACGCGTTAAGCCACTTCGTGGAGCGATTGTTTGTGATAGCCAAGTCGCTTCTGCAAAAAGAGCTACATAGCTCAGTGGGCCTTACTTGGTAAAACAAATATATAGTTTCAATCTGAAAGGGAGATCAGGGCCAGAAGGATGGATAAATAGGTGAACGAGAACGAAAATTGAGAGTGGAAAGTTGCAACAACAAAAGCAGCAGCAGCAGTTTTCATTCACACGGCGCTGGACCACACCACCGGACTTGTCGAAGCGCCGACCTCAATCAAGAGCCACACGGCCCAGCGGGCCTTACCTGGCTTCAATAAAACACAACATTTTAAACAGTTTAGTTTCAGTTTAACACGTAGTAGGCTTTCGCGACCAATATCAAATAAAGATGTTGGGTGAGATCGCGTAAGTATAAATTAGTCGTAACCCTCCACCACCCGACACAGCCAATTAGTAAGGGATTTGTCACGTAAACAACGCGACAATTAGTTACTACTTCAGCACACCGGTGTGTTGGAGAGGAAATCCAGTACGACGTTTCGCCGGTAATTACATCCAGCATCATCGCGCGATTTACCAGAATAGTGAAGCAATGAACCCAACAACTTTATTAAGAGTTTAGTTTCACTCGTCGCTGGGTGAGCAGAGGGGCAGGGGAGCGGTGGTGCGCGACTTTGAGCCTCGCCGAGACGTCCTGGCGAGGTTTGATGGGTCGTGCTGGTCGCAGTGTGCGCGACACAACAGAGACAAAGATTCCCCCGTGGAGCCTGAGGCTGAGTCGACCGAGTTGTAGAAGACGCCAAGGACCGGTTAAGATAAGAGCCAGTGCAGTACAGCAAGTACTGCAAGTGCTGCGCTAGCTATAGCAGGGGACCTTGGTTCTTATCAGCTTTAACGTGATATTAACATCGTCACTTCGCGTTCAATTGGCAAGCATCGAAAATAAAATGCCGACGCGCTATTCGACGCGGGTACCGTGGAGCCTTTGTGAGCCGACATGAAGCGTCGTGAACCGATGTGCGCATGCACTGCAACGAACCGCGCTCGGTGTCGTTTTACCCCCTCGCAGCAGGGGCAGCTCCCAGGGCTCGGTTGGGCACGGGGGGGGGGGGGAGGCGCTGTTCCTCGCTCCGGTCACCGGAACACGTGCGGACCAGATGCGCGCTTGGCGCGGGTGCGGCTTTGGTTTGTTTGTTGTCTTACTGGGCGGGGGGGGATCCAAGGGGATGTTCAGCGGCGAGTTTACCCGTGTCTGTTAATCACGGCGAGCTCATGTGCGGAACACGTGTGCTGCGTTGGACGGAGACACCCCGAGTAGTGCCTTGAACCGATCGCCTCCTCCACAAGAATGCGCGCCCTCTCTGGCCATCTGGCCTGCATTGACCGCACGGAACTAAGCCACATCACGAGGTCACCTGCGCCCTGGACCTTGACCGCACTAAATTATAAAGTATTTTTTTTATTTTACCAGGTAAGGCCCTGCTGAGGTATATATATTTTTTTCAGAAGCGACCCGGCTTTCACAAATGATCGCCCAATGAAGTGGCTTATCGCGTGGATTTTTATGTTGTTGTATAGCAGCCAAATGCCCGAAACGCACGCTTCTCAATTTGGAGAGAAAAAAACGGAGAAAAATCCACGCGACCATACAGCAGCAGGCGTCAGGGTTGGTCTCGAACCCACGACCTCCTGTATACCAGGCGAGGGAGAAAACATCCCAGCCACCGCACTGGTGGTGAACACGGGCCCTTGCAACAATAACCAGGCCCTCCTGGCCAGCCAGCCAGCCTTCCAACACTTGCACGTGACCAGGGGGTAAACCTAGCCTGGCACAGGCACCACGGTCATTTTAACCCGTAGGCTTTCGCGACCAATATTATTCACAATAAAGGTGTTTGGGTTAGATCGCGTTATTTATAAATGTGTCGTAACCCTCCACCTCCCGACACGGCCAAACAGTAAAAAAAATGTGTCACCGGTGTGTTGAAGAGTGAATCAACATCATTCACAATTTTTGAGTAGTACGACGTTTCGCTGGTAATTACATCCAGCATCATCGGGCAATTTGCCAGAATAGTGAAGCCCTCCACTTGTTCCCGGTCTTAAATAGAGCAGCAGCAGGGTGACGTCATCTAGCTCATTCTGGTGCAGTGAGGCGGAAAGGGTGAGTATATTGTAATAATATAATAGATTGCCAATCATTCAATTGTTATTCATTAGTATGTGTTTCCCCTATAATGACCACGTGGCCGTCTACTCTGGAAGAAGGAGAAATAAAAACCCCGTGCGTTTTTACTGATTTTCTAAAATCAACATTTTGTTACGTTTAGGAATGGCGAACATTGCGAATATTACGGCCAAGTGAAATATTGTGTCCGCCTGACGCCGTGCCCAGAGCTGCCAGCGCGAGAGGGACGCGTGCGTCCGCGGTGTTTTCACAGCGAAGCAGTTTCACCTCGTCCAGAGAGAGAGAGAGTGTGTTTGTGCATCGTCGGTAATTGCAGGAGAGAGAACCGACAAAACCCATGGACACCGTCTGTTTCTTTTCTCTCACACAAATGCATCGAGCGAGCAGACGTGAGATGCGTTATGTACCTTCGGCTGGGACACGAAGTCAGCTGTCACGGTGGTGCAACGGTTCTCACATTTGGACCTCCAACAACCCCAGGGGTCACCGGGTTAGAGCCGTGAGTTGCCTCCATGGTCAAGGGTGTCCGCCCCAAGCGAGTCGCGACCTAACGGTGTTCACGTTTGTGTGTGTACGTTGAACTTCTTTCGCGCCGTACGTAGCCAACCGTGCCCATCGGTTAGCTCATGCTTCACAAATCCACGTTCACAATATTTGCCGCAGCCACGCAATTCCCACCCACTCGTGAGTGACGAGAGCACGTGGTCGTTGGCTCGATTTATCACCAGCATAACCACACGGGTCACATGTGCAACAGTCCTCATGTGATAGTGTTGAGGGCCATCCATTGAGTAGGTACCCATAAATCTGTCAAAACTTGACCCCTTCCCCCTCTCTGTACCCCTCCCCCACCTGCGTACGTACGCTTGACGCACCCCCCCCCCCCCGAATTCTATATAACGGCCGATATTTAATCCACGCAGAAACGATTAATGATTAATCATATTAACGTGTTTAAGCAGACAAATAGTCCACCGTCGGCTGCATTAAATAATGAAGTCGCGCACCTTGGCTACTGATGTTTGCTGATCTGCGTGACAGCTGCAGTCAGGGGCACGGTGGCACACGAGTGACACCTCTCCCACAGTCCCACCTCTCCCGGCAGGACTTGTTGTCTGACAGCTGAAGACACTGAACTGTGGCTCATTTGAAAGCCAATGTAGACAAATTATTATCGAGGCTTCACCCCCCCCCCCCCCCCAATTTCCTATTCGTACATTGTCAGTAGACCCCCCATATGCAAGCGTACGCGTTTGGGTTAACCCCCCCCCCTTCCCCCTCCATGCGTACGTACTGAATGGATGGCCCCTCATGTTGACTGCTTTACTTCATTGCTGTGCTTTGTTTTGCTATTTTGGTGATCCAGGTCACTCTTGCGAATGAGACTCCTATCCTAGTTTCTTGAGTTATCACCTCCTGGTTAAACAAAATAAACTTGAAAGGCCCCCAGATTCTTAGAATTGCTTTTCTGGGCACATGAAATGTACTACTCTCTTTAACAAAGTCACGGATGGCCACACCAGGATGCTGTTTGCCTTCGATATGTTCTCGTTTTTTAAAAGGTTTGCGATGCAAAATAAACATCTGCCATGGTGCAGCATCTGGGTCAAACATGTCATGGCAAAAAACTATTCTGGCAAGGCTGCCCACTGCAGAAATCCATGTTCCTGAGGAAAACCAAAGGTCCTCTGCTATAGCGCGTAATTAACAACAACAATAATTCAGTACAATTGGCATTCGCGCCGTTCTTATAGCACAAGGCTCCCACGAGAGCGCTGTGTCCCACAAGGTGTCTCTAAAGTGCACCGAGATGCAGACGACGCGCGATATTTCTTGGTGACTGCACCCACGACAGTAACCAGGGCGGCCTGCCAGATTGGAACCGTGAAGCTCTGCACTGCCGCTGGGCCACGTCATCGGCCTGCGTAAATCCGCGCGATGACGATGACATCCTTGAGAGGAGAACGCAAATCTCAGCCAGTGGGGCTGTTGCTGCTGCAGTTTCCACCTGGCTGAACAAAATTTACTTGAAACGATACCCCGCAGCTCGACAGCCAAGCCAAATTAGCAATGCTAGAGACGACTGTCCACCCAAACCCAGCGGCCCCTCCGCCACCTCGCCTCCGTGGGGTTTGCCGAGCGAAGCCCTCCACCTCGGAGCGACTGCGATCTGCTTGCACGCGGTCAGAAGTCGCGCATCCGTCGCTCGTTACGGCGAGCGGCTGCCGTGCCGCGAGCTGTCATCGCCGTGCCTCTGGGAGGATGTGTCCCCCCCCCCCCACTCCACGCACCCCGCTCCGGTGGTGTCGCTTACAAACCGCCACACACGCACGCCAGGCAAGGCATCGCTATAAATGCCGGGTTTATTGGAAGTGAAGCTGTATATATTAAGGCAAGAGCGGCTACTCGCCTTACCTTGTATAATTTAAGAAATTAAAAAAGTGACAAATACTGTGTTGAAGAATAAAGTGTTGACAAAGCTGGCAGCGTTTCACGTGTCCTTTTCTGTTGTTGTTAAAAGTGCCCAGAGTTAAATAAACATTTTCTTCGTGTGTGTACTTTTAAATGAAGAAAAAAAAAGTTTAAATGTCAAATATCTAAGTCCTGAAAATATGTGCGCGCGCGCGCGTGCGCGTGTGTGTGTGTGCAAGCAGAACATACAGCCGATTTGTGACATCCCCTGCTCGCGTGTAAATCGCACGGCCCCATCTCTCACGTGCGGTGGTGGCGTGTGGCCGGTGGACGCGCCGTGGAGACCCGCATCGCCCCCGCAGAGGCCGTGGCACCTCGAGCGAGGCCGCTCGACGCTTCGAGACTTCCGGCAGCGCACACAGACATTGCACCGTCCGTCCCGTTCTTAATCGATACGGGCACAGTGTGAGCGTTCGTGGTCAGGCATCGGAATTAGCCATTACAATCGGAGATGAAATGGGGGTGGGGGGGGGGGGTCCGGCGTTCGGCTTCGTCGGGTTATCGCTGCAGCGATGCGCCTGGTATTGTGATTCACGCAGTGGAAATATACGTTACGTGCCGTGTCTAAAGCTAAACTGTCCTACTTTTAAAAATTAATTTGACCAGGCAAGGCCCACTGAGCTATGTAGCTCTTTTTCAGAAGCAACCTGGCCACGTGGAAATTTATGGCAACCAAATCCTCTAAACGCATGATTCTAAAAGTGTAGGGATAACCCGGAGGACCCAGAGAAAATCCACACAACCACGGGGAGAAGAGGCAAACTCCAAATATACAGCATGCGTCAGGGTCGGGATTGAACCCACGACATCCTGCATACCAGGTGAGGCAGTTAAAATCTCCGAGCCAGCGTGGCACCAACCTGTGTTTGTCTTCTGCTTATTCTTTCCTGTGGCCGGCCCGTGAAGAGCGATTAAGCCAACCATTCGCTCTGTCCGAGAGTTGGGTCAAATGTGCGTGCGCGCCCACCTTGACCGCTCACCGCCGCCCTCAAAGTGAACATGCCCGGTGGCACGTGACGACCCACACGTGACGACCCACACGTGACGCGGTTACGCGGAAAACACCAACAAGCCACCGAACGTCGATCCATCAACTGCCCAGTTCGGAAGAGCGACTTTCGATGTTTGCCGTGTTGGAGCACTCTGGGGTGGAAGGAAGCCACCGTGCATCCCATCACCATCCCACGAGGATCTCGAGCGCACGCAGAAGGGACAACGCGGCACGCCGCCGGGCACTCCCCAGGGGCCGCGCGCGTCTTCGATTATCACGGTCGGCTACGTACGGTGCCAAAGAAGTTCAACATACACACACAGATGCGAACACGCGCAGCCACCGCCTACCGTTACGCGAAACGCAGGGACCTGTGCGCGATATTCGCTTCGGAGTCGACGAGTCGCAATTGCGCAGACAGCGTGAACGCGAGGATTGGCACAAAGCGTCCGGTGAGTAGAGTTCGTCTACGAATAATCCTTGAGTTGTCCACGTATCGTGTGTGTGTGTCTGTCTGTCAAGCTTCTTACGCACCGTACGTAGCCAACCGTGATAATCGGAAGTGCGGGAGGGGGGAGAAGACAACAAACTAAACACACACAAATCAGTTGTAAAGAAACGGGCTTGCAATCCAGAGTGAGTTTTCAATCGTGGCTACACGGCTGTACAATGTCTACATTCTCTCCGGAACAACGGCTCCCAGTGACAACTCTCCCGGCAAATAATCCGCAAAGCAACGCGGCTCGCGGGCCCTTCGCATTGTGCTTATAGATGAGGACACTGAGATAACCTCCACCTCCCCCCGGGGGGCAAAAATCACCCGAGAGAAAAACAACAGAAAGCCAAAGCCTCGGTTAAGTGCTCGCCAGGGCAAAACATTCTAAATAAAAAAAATAACTTTGCGTGACAACAACAACAACAACAAAAAAACAAATAAAAATACGAGTAAAGTGTCTAAATGACTGCAATAAACCACGCGCATCGTGGACCCCTGTCCCACGCAGTCAACGCGGTCATCGCCGCGACGTGGACATTCGCCGCCTTCTCAAAATTGTCAACGCGCCACGTGGAACGCGGAATGTGACTGCAATGTTTCGCCGGCAATAATTTAAAGCACGCGGGCGCCTGGTTTCAATTAAACACCGTACTCGACACTTTGAACGTATAAATGCGAAGCTAAGTGTGGCAAAAGGCAATTCATAACGCGGAGTTGCAGTGACGTTCAACAATGGAGACAGAGCCAGCGGCATACACACTGCTGCTGGAGCCGAAACGTGTCGTAGAGTGTGGTCAAGCAACAACATTCAATGTAGTCTCATGCGTTCAGGAGACACAGCCGGAGATATTAACCCAAAAAAATACTTGTCCAAAAATCTTAAGACGGACGGTTTTTGTGCTAAAAGTATTTTAGCACAAAACTGCCATGTGACCTAAACTCAACACACGTATGGAGGACCTACACGACTGTCAATGATAATTGAATAAGTCCTCCAATTAGTCGTCACCTCTCCATAGCTTCTTGCCGTGTGAATTACAAAGCTGTTGTTTTAGAACGAAGCACAATTGGAGTCAAACGGACTAGCGGGTACGCTTGACGTGGGGACGTTTGTTGTTGTTGTATATTTTTCGCCTGTGTGAAAGGAGATAACGTTGTTTATCACGTGGAGACAGATATTTCCCGAGCGGCGTATCGTCCGCTTGTATCTCCTGTCAAGATTCCCCGCAGCGACGCTCACCGCGCGTGATGATTGCGTGCAGGACGACCGACCGATCGTCGGTGTCGCACTGCGGATCCGTGGCGGCAACAGCAACAACAATAACAACAACAATAACAACGGCGGCGGCGAGGTTGTGACGCCGGCAATTCTCAGCGCGTCGCCTGTCGGGAATTCTCAGCGGGAACAAGACTGGCGCTTCTTGCCCTTTCAGAATCAGAATCTTCATTCAAACTGGAGGAGAAAATCCGATGAGCTATGAAGCTCTTTTCACAGATGCCCAGTATGGGCGGGTCAGCGTTATCAATCGTGCTTGCCCGTGGACTTTCAACCCCCCCACTGAGTTCCTGATCTAAATGTCCACGTGATGATGACCAGGGCCACTTTGGCGAGCGATCGTTTGCGGCCAGGTCACTCCTGAGAAATAAGCTGATCGCTCAGTCGGCCTGACCCGTGGAGGTAAAACATATTTGACTTTTATTCGCATTTTTTTTGTAAGTGATTTGTGTACCTTTCTTACAATTTGCACTACTATCGTGCTCTTTTTTTAATCGATTGTTGTTGTAACGTTCTGACCCCGTGCCCCGACTGGACATCTGTGAGAAAAAAGAGCTTTATAGGTCGTCGGATTTCTCCAGGAAGAAATAACCATTCTGATTCTGAACGGAGCGTGCCACGTGCGCGTGCGGCGGATTGAATTCTTTGTTTCCTCGCCTCCATGACGTCATCTCCCGTGACGGGCCGTAGGCAGCATCTCTATGGGTGTTGTTGTTTGACTTGCATCCCAATGGGATTTTTGCACACAGCGTTGAAATGCGGTCCTTTTTTCTGGAAGACTTTGCTGTTTTTTCCAGGATTTTTCTGTTGCGTGTAGTCACTTTAAGATGTTTCTTGTTCATGTTTGTGTTTTGTTGCGGTTGCACCCGAGTCAAGAGCCGCATGGCTCACAGGGTTATACCTAATACATGGAACTGAAACTGAACTATTGTCCGTCGTGTACCCCGCGAGACGCCCTTGAGGTGTGTACAACTTTTGCACCGAACACTTGGCAAACCGTCTCAACACGTATGTGCGTATGTATGTTGAACCTCTTTCGCACCGTACGTAGCCAACCCTGCTCATCGGAGGTGCGGGGGAAGGACAACAACACTAACAACACACAAATCTGTTTCAAAGAAATGAGTTTGTCAATCTAGATGATGATGATTTAAAAGTGCATAGCTCCAGTGGCTTCCTAATATCGGAAGGAAGAGCGTTCCAGACGGGCGCAGCAGCGCATCTGAAAGCGCCGCGCTGTGCAGTGAGCTGGCGATGCAATACGGGGACGGCCATGAGTTTTTGCAGGAGTGGGCACTGCAAGTGTCATGCGCTTGTGAGCAGGGGCTCCCTCTACCCACTGGGTTGTTGAATGGCGACTTCACCACGCTCGCTGCGGAAAAAAAACTCAACGCAGAAATGACGATTTGTTCCCAACAAAATCGCCCTGCACCGGCCCAAAGGCCCGAAGGCCCGAAGCGTCAAGCGGTGGGCAACAAACAGCACCGCCAAAGTGAACCCCTCGTTTGTTGTCCATGGTACCAACGCAGTCGGAACCAACGACGAGCATCAGGCGGAGCGCAGGCGACGGTGCCCAAACCATCAGCTGTCCACGGCGACACGGAGCAGGTGAGGAATCAAAGTTGCAACCGATAAGGAGTTAACACGTCTCGTGATATGAAAACTATAAAAGATTTTTTTTTAATTTTACCAGGTAAAGCTCGCTGAGCTATAGAGCTCTTTATTTAGAAGCGACCTGGCCACAAATGATCGCTTATCCTCATCACCACGTGGTACTTTATAGCAGCAGCCAAATGCTATAAACGCGTGGTGATGTTGATTTAAAATTGTGGAGGGGAAAAACCGGAGGACCAGGAGAAAAATCCACGCGACCACGGGGAGAGAGAGAGACACGAAAACTCCAAATACAGCCGGCGACAGGGTCAGGATCGAACCCACGACCTCCTGCGTGGCACAGACGAGGAAGATATCACGACGCCCTGTGGCGCCTATATGGGCACGGTGAAGCGAGGTTGGGCGAGGGCCGAACGCGCGACCGGCGCGGCTCACGCTCCGAATGCACCCATCCCAACGTCCCTTCTCCGGTGTTGCTGACAAACCAAATCAATTGGCACACTTACCCACGTGACAACTTAATTTGATTGGCTCTGTCGCTCGGTGGTGGAGGGTTATAGATTTAAAAAAAAATTGGTATTCTAACCTGCACACTCTCACCCAACATAAACAAATTATAAGTGACAACGCAGCATTTATGAGCCACGCGTTTGCTTTAACTTCAACCGAGACCCAGGTGAGGTCACGGGTCACGTTGGCAGCGCTTTCCAAGGGCTAATACCCCCACGTGTCGGCTGTGCTCCCACCTCGTCCACGTCTCGGCTGTGCCCCCACCTCGTCCACGTCTCGGCTGTCCACCAGGCCGGCCGTGGCCGAGAGCCATCGACTTTGGCTCCGAATTCTCTTCAATTCTAGCGAATGGGACCAGGAGCCAGATGCCAGTGTCGAGGTCTGCTAGCCACGACGAGAGGGCTTCAGGAGAGAGAGAGACTTGGTGTGCTTTTGCTGTTCCTCCTGTGTTGGAGAAGTCCAGATTACAGCTGTTTACTTTATGGTCCATAGGTTTAGGTTGCAACCATCACACCACTGTGGCTCGTGTCTTTAATTTTCCATTCGTAACGACGGTGTCGTCGAGGAGGAATGTCACAGCCAGGAGGCTCGATGATATTTGGGTCTCGAACAAGGAGGTGTTTATTCTGGACATCCACGTTGCTCCACTCTGCTTGCCAGCGTTCTTCCGGATCTGGGTGACGTTCTAGGATGGCGACAGCACGATTCCAGAAGGGGGATGGTGCATTGTTGAGGTCTTGGTTGATGATGGGTAGGTGGGTGATGATGGGTAGGTGGGTGATGATGGGTAGGTGGGTGATGATGGGTAGGTGGGTGATGATGGGTAGGTGGGTGATGATGGGTAGGTGGGTGATGATGGGTAGGTGGTTCTTCATAGGTAGGAGGTTGGCGTCGGTTTCAGTGTTCCGGTTACGATGCGCATCGCGTTATTCGTGCACGTGGCAGCTTCGTGTTCCAAGCTCCCGGACCGGGCTGAAGTCGCGGTGACTCCAGCCGCCGAGCGGATCATCTCGGCAGTTCGCAGCGCGTCAGCCACGGCACCCCAGGTCGCTGCTGCGAGTTCCCGTAGCGGGGGAATGTTTCCGCGTGGTGAGATGGCAGCCTTGTCGCGTGTTACCTTAGACACCACCGATGACGTCATCCAGGCGAAATGGACGTCGTTAATGGAATCCAAACCCCAAATAAACCGCCCCGCCCCCGTGGGCCAGGGAAGGGTAGCAAGACTGCGTTGTTGAAACGTACTCATCTCAACGTCACACACCGGCAGTCCAGTACGTCGGTACGTGTCTTTATAAAAAGTTTTAAAAGCCACCGCTCGGCGCGGAGACACCCTCCAGCCGCAGGGGCCGGGCGGCAACTAACGCTGGGGGAAGGCGGCGACCGGAGGCCCACGCCGTCGGTGCGTGGCGCTGAGCCCCCTCGCGCCCCTCCCTGCGGCCACAGCTCCTCCACGCGGTGGACACGGCGCCGTTACCCCTTGAACGTCCGCGGCAGCGGCGTCCCCTCTAGCCCTGAACCCGCCCACCCCCACCTGTCACGAAGAAGTCAGTGCCTCTCCCCTACTTCTAAATTGGCTCTGCAGAAGTGGCCGAGCAGCGAGCCGAGTTTAACCACGGACGCGCGAGCAGCCCGGCTTGGGAGGAGACGGCGCTGACGGCCCGAGCGGTGCACCTCGCTTGCCGCTGGGTCCTTTGCTGCCAGGCACGTTCAATGGGAGGGCCCCGCGCGGGGGTTGGGGACGCCCCCCCTCCCCCCGGGGCTGCGGCAACGCAAACAAAAAGCAGTCCGCTCGGCGGGGTCGCGGAAGTCGGCCGCGTCAAACCCCCCGGGGGGGGTCGTCCGGCGTCCGCAGCGGAGGGGGGGGGGGGGAGGGCGACCTCCGCGGCACGGTCACTCGGCGCGGAGGCCGCGGGGGCCGTGGAGCAGCGCGGCCGCGGCGGCCGTGACGGCGGCCAGGGCCGCGGTGAGGCCGCCCGCCTCCAGGCGCCTTCCCGCACCGCCGCCCGGCTGGTTCCTCCGCCGGTCCGGGTGGATCTTGTCCGGGCGGCTCTTGTCCGTGGGGGCCGGCTTGTCCCCGCCTGCGGGATTCAGGGGAGAGAACGCGGAGGCCGGGTTGATCGTGGTGGTTGCGAGCCGTCGAATCGTGCGTCGAACCGCCGCCCTCCTCCTGGGGCCCCCAATTGTTTGGGGTTCTGTTCTTTTTTATTTTTAAACTGTGCCCGTTACAAACGTGTGTATATTTACCTGACGCAAGAATGAATGCATAGAATCTCCGACGTGACCTGCGCAGGGCCAGTCTGTGACCTTACGCGGGCGGCGCCACCGCGATTGGCCGAGCTGCGAGCGGCTCATCATCCGCTGCCGGCCACGCTGAACGCGGCCAAAACAACGAGCGCCGGGGCGAGAGTGGAACGAGACTCGTGGCTAAAGCTCAAATGCCGTGGGCAGGGGCAGGCGTTTCCCATCACCCGTGCGCTTCGCTGCGGGTGATGGAGAGCCCGGCACGAGTGTGTCATGATGAATCGACGTAAGCCCAACACACTCCTTCCCCGCCATGACAAAGTGCCCCGCAGTGGGGAGCCAGGTGCCTCCTGTCCCCCGCCCCCATTCCCACTCGAGGTAACAAGACAAAGGCCCGTGGGTGGGCTCAGGTGTGTGCGCTGCTGTCATTTTCTGCCGTGTGGCGAACACCAGCTGCTGGTCGTGGGCAGGCGCTTTACTCTTCAAGCGAAAGTCCCGGCGCAAACAAGCGCCTTTTATGTACGTTCGTGTGTTAAACTTCTTTCGCACCGTACGTAGCCAACCGTGCTAATCGGAGGTGCGGGGGGAAGGACAACAAACTAAACACAAAAAGCGGTGCTAAATAAATGAGTTTTCAATCTAGACGATTTCAAAGTGCATAGCTCGTTTGGCTTCCTAATATCGGAAGGAAGAGCGTTCCAGACGGCCGCAGAAGCACCCGAAAGCAAACAAAGACTCCGGTGTCCGCACGTGACCTGTGCACGAGCGTGACTGGGGGTGCGAGTTGCCCCCCCCCCGCCCCCGCCCCCCCCCCACTCACCCGTGCCCCCCGCGTTACTCGCGGGTTTGATGGGGTCGGCGCCGCTGCCGCCACCGTCGTCGTCGTCGCAGTCGTCCTCGTCGTCGCAGTCGCGATCCCCGCTGGCGGCGCCGCCCTCCCCGCGAGCGTCGCTCTGCCCGCCGCCGTCCTCGGCCTCCTCGGGGCCCCCGGCCACCTCGTCCTTGCGGCCACCCGCGCCGCGCTCCCGTATGGCCTGCGCACAGACGAGACACGGCCCACGCGCTCAGCGATACGGAGGCTGGCCGACGTCCTTTTATTTAACCCGGGGGTCGGGAGCCAGAATATCACTAAAAGACATTCAAAAGAACCTCAACATTTCAAAGGGCCGCATTTCCACGTGGTGAATACGAGACGGCGGTCCTTCATAAGCAACGTCGCAGTCAGCCGCAGGTGGCCGACCTCTGATTTAACCACGTCGCAGCCAGCCGAGAGTTGCGTAAATAACCATCGAGCGGCCGTGGCATTGGCGTGATCGCTCTCATACCGAAGGAAGGTGCCGCCGTGGTTCACGGAACGTAGCGGCGGCAGTCGTTTTGCAGGAAGGGGCGACGTTGCTGCTGTGTGTGATCTCAGCTGTATGTTCAACTTCTTTCACGCCGTACGTAGCCACCCGTGCTAATCATGCTCACATTATTGGGATGTTTGCGAGTACCTATGAAGGCCGGCACGGCACACGAGGGGGTGGGTAGTCAACACCACGCCCGGCCGCCTTTGTCTCTTTGAGGGGCGATGTTCACACACAGCACCAGTCGACCTAGGGGAGCCCCAGGACCGGTTCAGATAATCGTCGCTGGTGTCGGCCGTGAGCGGGAATCGAACTCGGGTCGCCGGGTTCGTAGCGCAGCGAACTTAACCGCTACACCACGAACCACTGCGCCACCGCTCCCCACTCACAATGCACGCGTGTGCGTGCGTTTGCACACTCACAAACGCACACACGTGCGTGCGTGCGTGCGCAAGCGGCACATACATCGCGGGCCCACGACGCCTCCGGGACGCATTCGTCTCATTTATGGGGAAGCAGTCGCTCGAGGGATTCCGCTTCGTTTTTGAGAATGAGCCAGAGTGTGCGCGACTTGGCCGCCTGAAGAATGTTTCGCGCGGTTACCGTGCGTGTCCGGGCCACGACTTTGGCGGAATCACCTCGGCCCCACGTGAGGTGGAGCCGCCGCGTCATTTGGCGGCGGTCAAAGCGCGAAGAAGTGCGGTTTGCGCGATGGACATCTGCGGGAAGGAGCTTTGTAGCCCATCGGATTCCTCCAGGATCAATATTCTGATTCTGGATACCCGGGCACACATACAGGGTGACCCAAAAAAAACGGGCCCCAACTCTAATAGGCCCGTGTGCACGGGGCCCGTTTTTTTTTGGGTCACCCTGTATATACTGTATTGTTATACACAGTAATATCCCCATTTACACGTCTCTCCCCCATTTACGTCGTTTTGCAAATTCGTCGCCACGTTGTTCTACACACCGCTACCCGACCCCACGCACGCACTCACGTCGCAGACAGCACGGTCCCTCCTTCCTCGTGGTCCGTCGCCCTCTCGGCCATTGCCTCCACCACCACCACCACCACCCACTACTGCCCTGCCAAAGGAACTACTTTGCGCCACGAATAAATAAATGTACTGCGCTGCAGAGTACAATATATTATTAACGTACGGTATTTTGGTGATTTCTTTTTTTAGTGTATGTATCTAATTGTACCCCGTATAATTTGTGTTCAAGGTTACTGCTGTGCACTCGCGTTGTGTGCAGTATTTTAAGTAATTCAATGTAACGCTGTGGGTTGCGTCTAGGATGAGGACGCACCTCCGATTAACACGATTGGCTACGTACGGTGCGAAAGAAGTTCAACATACGGTACGTACATACAAGGCGTGTGCATTAACACACAGCTTCACCATACCTTCCGCTGCCTTTGTTCAGCTCTTGTGGAAAATTCGCTTTGATTTACGCCTTTTCGAAATCCTTCGCACCTTTTAGGAACGCATCCTCGACATCCACCGTGGTATTCGTGTATATATGTGTACGTTACACAGTTATACATATATTTCCTCCCACTTAAACGTGGCATCGTCGTAAAGTGTATCCGCTGTTGGTGTGATCTCAATTTGTTTGTAAAAAAAACTCCGCGCGTTATCGTTGGGGGAGCAGCCCCCAGGCTACACGCGGCTCATTCGCAAAGCAGCCTGGGAGCATTCGCCAATCTGTCGTGGGTTAACTTAGTAATCAAATCGACTCAAAACTAACCTCCAAAATAACAGAAATTATGTCACAAATCTGGGTAACAAATGATGAAATTAAACTGTGTCGCCCACGTGCGGCTCGTTATTATTCAACGCTGATTTATGCTCGTGCAGCAATTTTCGATTTGTCACGTGGCGACGTTTCTAAAGTTGTTTTTTGTTTTCATTTCTACTCACGTCAATGCCGCACGTTCTAACCCACGCTCCCCTTTGGTCATTTTGGTGGCAGGCTGCTGTTTTTTTAGCAGCCAATTATACGATGCACAGTTTACCTTCTTGGGTTGGGGGAATTCGCGTATCCTACATATTCTCAGGGTGGATGGACACAATACTCTGCAACGGTAAATGTACGCTCCGTCGCGCACCCCGTTTAACTCCTTTCCCGCAAATCATTGGGGCGCGAGGAGCGTTGGCCGAGACCCAACAACGCACCTCGCTCTGAGCTCCCCAAAAATAGTGATTCACGCTCAGGGAAAAACAAACGCAGGTGTGTCAGCGAGAGTGAGAGAATGAGAGAGAGAATGAGAGAGTGAGAATGAGAGAGTGGGAGAGAGTGAGAGAGAGTAAGAAAGAGTGATAATGAGAGTAAGAGAGAATGAGAGAGAGAGTGAGCGAGAATGCGAGTGAGAGAGAGAGAGAGTAAGACTTGACTTTTATTTCCGCCAGCAGCAACAACACTGGAGGCGATTTCGATATGGCGAAGATGGCGGTGTACAGAACGAGAAAAAAAATGCTGGAAGGTGACACTGACGGCTACTCTGTGCTTCCAGTGTTCAGAGGCCTGCTCAAGGCGCGGCTCCGGCTGGAGCGCACGTACCACACACATGCCGGTGATGTGCACGTCTTCTTCGAACGCTGGGGAGCCGGAAAAGCCCCTCTCTGTACCAGCGTGGACGGCACCCTCGTGTTCACCTTCTGAAGCGCTCGCTCGTCACCGTGGCGTGCACGATTACCGCCACAACCACGTGACTTTTATTTCGTGTTGTGCACGGTGCTTTTATCACCACATCGTGTGGATTTGTAGCGTTTATTTTCATTTGTTTGCTGGTGAAGAGAGAGAACGATGTGTCTGCTCGCCGGTACCGTGGGAGTGACTCGTCATCAGTACCTCAGCGACCGTCTGGAACGCTCTTCCGTCCAATATTAGTAGGCCGCTGGAGATGGACTGGCAAAGTGCCGTTAATGATTGTCATTATGCTTGGGGCATACGGCACGTTTTCTGTGCATATGGGGTGTGAAGGAGCAGCGCTCTGCACATTGCATTTATATCGGAGCAACCCGAGTTCGATTCCAGGCTACGTACAGCACCAATCCAAGTGGTACCTGAACCAGGCTTGGGTCTCCACTAGTTCCAATCAGCCTTAAATGAGCACTTGGCTGAGTGTATGAAGATTGGCATTGGTGTTGGGTCAGGAATTTGGACTTACGGAATTTTTATTTATTTTCGTGACTTTCTTACCTGTTCTCTATTTTGCACTCCTATTTCATTGTTTTGTATGGGGTTTGTATTGTTTGTTGTTGTAACTTTGCTGACCCGCCCCTACCGGACATCTGTGAAAAAACCCATCTTCACAGCTCATCAGATTGCTCCTCCAGTCTAAACAAAGATTCGGATTCCGATAGCCGCTCAGTGGGAGTGCCCCGCTCCCTGGGGGCTCCGTGGGGCTCCCCGCTCCCTGGGGGCTCCCTGGGGGCTTCCCGCTCCCTGGGGGCCATCATTGCGAGGCGGCCGTAGCCAGCGTGGAGTGTCGGCATCGGCCTTCCAGCATGCGCGGGAGAGTGACAACGACAACCGCGTGGTCTGCAAAGATTAATGTCGGATGTTTGTCCTGCAGGGGATCGATACAAAATCCCCAACTTTGGTAATCCCTTCCTATCGCCACATTTCTCAAGCTCGTATGACCTTGAACAGTTCAGTAAACGTGTCAGCGCTTTCGTCCTTTCACGTCTGTGACGGCGGACGTAACTGAGTTACCGGCCGATTGAAGTTTTGCGCCTCTGAGCCTGTGTTCAGCAGCTGTGTAAAAAAATATTAATCCTTACACTTCACCTTGGCAGCTGTCCGGTTCGGTCAATAACACGAGCGGCTTTAAATAACCCAGGAAAGCCTCACCGAGTCTCAGGATGCTGTTACAAGACGGCGTTGAGACGCTGGGCTCATTCCACCGGTGTGCGTTTGAAATGCTGCAGGAAATCCGAACGCGGGGAGAAAAACCCACACGCACGATGCCAAAACTCGCACGGCGCCGCACGGTTGCATTCAAGAATTCACCGCATCTAACTTTGTATTTTCACTCTTGTCCAACACATAACGGGTAAGTTACCGTGTAAATACACGGGAAGTTGCCCTGCGCATAGTGGCGGCAGGAGCTGTCCGCAACTCCCGCAGCTGGGGCGGACTCCGATGCACGGCTCGCATGTCCACGTGGCCGATACCAACGGCAGAGCGGCTGCATACTTCTTGTGAAACGGACGACTCATTGCCTCGGGGTTACGAGCGCGACCCCGACTCTGCGGTAACTCACGCGGCGCGCATCACCTGCGGTCGACAATTCCACAGGGCAATTGCCACCGGCACGGCGGCGAGCGCGGTCGCCGCTCGCCGCAGAGGTTCGCGCTTTGAATCCAGCGGACGTCCTGATTTAGTGCCGCGGGTTTATTGGCGAGAATGCCATTTGGAGCCGGCGTCACGGTTCCAAATTTGCCAGATTCAAATAGTTACACCGGCTTTTGCACGTACAGCAACGTCCCCCCCCCTCCCTACTGGCAGACTAACGCCAGACCGCAGGCCGGGTCCCGAGTGACCTCGTGCCAGGCAGGCCCAGCTGCCACCGTGGGGGCCCTTTCAAATGTTTGAGCCGAGATGCGGCCATGAGTCGCTCGCAGCAAGTGGCGTGCGATGGGCTCTGGGACGGCCGCGGCGTCCACGGCGTGTCTCTCTCCACGACAACGCCTCCTCGTTGTCGCTGTGTCGCGCTCCTCGCCGGCTGCGTGCGCGTGTGGTGAGTGTCTCTGTGTGTGTGTTTGTCAGTCAACCCGTGGCACCCGGGTCTGTCCCGTGACCTCCTGCCAGCGGGCGTTCGACACTTCACGGGGTCTTAAAGTGCACTTAGCCTGGTACAAGCGCCGTGGTGACATCACCGTCACTTCGTGGTGAATGGCGGATGTTTTCCGGGTAAATCTCTGTGTGTGTGGAGAGCGTGGTGTAGCGGTCAGCACACTGCGCTACAAACCCAGTGACCCGAGTTTGATTCCCACTCACGGCCACCAACGCCATTGACGATTATCTGAACCAGTCCTGGGTCTCCCCTAGGTCATCTCAACCTCAAATAACTACCTGGTGCGGTGCCTAAACATCGCCACTGGGGAGACAAAGGCCGTCGGGCGTGGTGCTGGCCACCCACCTCCCTCATGTGCTGTGCCGGCCTTCATAGGTGCTACTCGCGAACATCACTTGCCCCAACAGTCTGTTAAGGCTACACATGGAGGATCTTTGTCCTTGCGCGCGTGTGGCGAGCGTCGCTCACCCGCACGTCGTGCTGCAGCTTGCGCACGGCGCGCTGCACCGCCGCGTCCACCTCCGTCACGCGCACCTCGGGGTTGTGGCTCTGCGCCGCCACGCCGTTCTCCACCACGCGGTGCGTGTCACTGGGGGGGGGGGGGCGAGTGGGGGGGGGGGGCGAGACGGGGAGGGTGAGTTGGGGGGGTGACACTCAATGCTACGGCCACGCGCTCGTTCACCCGGAAAAGCCCCACTGAGTCGCAAGGCTCGTTTTCAGGAGGGTCCTGCCAGCTGTTCGCAGCAGGGGGCGACGCTGTTGCTGCTGCTGCTGCTGCGTGACCCCTCTGGAGTTCGTTTGCCGGCAACTTTGCGGCGTTCGGAAGTTTTGGCCGGTGCCGGTTACAGTTCGTGGCGTGGGGGTGGGGTGTCTTTTTTAGCTTTGGGAGAGAAAACCGGAGCGCCCGGAGAAAACCCACGCCTTGCACGAGGGCAGCAACGCTCTGTCCCCGTTCAGATGGAAACAGATGGAGATTGGTCTACTTGCCGTACAGCCTTCTGCTGGTAAACCAGGGTATGGCACCTGCTCGACATCTGTGCGATGCAAGCGTCGACTCTGCGGTGCTGGATTACAGGGCCACGTGCGTAGCCACCGCCGCTCGGCGACCCACGGAGGTCCGCGGAGACTTTACCACGGTGGCTAGGAGATGTTAACTACCTCGCCTGGTATACAGGAGGTGGTGGGTTTGATCCCGACCCTGACGCCTGCTGCTGTATATTTGGAGTTTGCGGTGTCTCTCTCCCCGTGGTCGCGTGCATTTTTATCTGGGTCCTCCGATTTTTCTCCTCCACATTCAGAATCAACGTCACCACGCGTTTAGAGCGTTTGGCTGCTATAAAGTACCACGTGATGATGATAAGCCGCCACTTCATTGAGCGGTAATTTGTGGCCTGGTCGCTTCTAAATAAAGAGCTACTATATTGCTCAGCGAGCCTTACCTGGTAAAATAAAAAAAATATTCATAGTTTAGTAAAAAAATATCTAGCATTTTTATAGCTAGTTGCCGTAAGGGGTCTCAGTCTAATGGTGAGGATGACCGCAGCAGATGGTGACCCCTGTGGGAAGTTGAGGTGGGGGGGGTAGGGATGGGGGTGGGAGTGTGACCGCTGCCCTCGACGCACCTCTCCGTCATGGTCTCGCCGTTCCAGCAGAGTGACGAGTCGTGCGACGCCAGCTCGGTGTGGCACAGCGTCTCCGCCAGCGTCGCGAAGAACGTGCGGTACAGGCGCAGGCTGCTGTGGAACTCCCTGCACGCGGCACACTGGAGATCGCGCGCGTTAGACACCCCGACGGCGACTCCAGTTTCGTCCTCCGTTAGGAATTGGCAGAGCCTCCGTGAGGCTCAGTGAGACGCTTCCGGGGCAAATACTGGGAGGACGTGGGAGGCGTATGGGGCAAGGTGCCGTCCATAAATGACGTCACGCGATTTTGGACGATTTTTGACCCCCCCCCCCATCGTCACACGGCGTCACAAAGCTCTGCCCCCCCCCCAAAAAAAAAACATGCTTCAAATCGCTTTAAATTATTGTCATTATAGTGTGTATTTAATGTGGCGCTGCACTCTGATGTTGTAGGAGAAAATATTTATTGAAAAGTATATTTAATTAAGTAGAACGTGTTGTCTATATTTATTTAAAGTTGTGCATTTTGATGTGACGTCACATTTCTCAAACGCCCCCCCGCCCTCGTCACACATCGTCGCAAATGTCTGACCCCCCCCCCCCCAGGTGCGTGACGTCATTTATGGACGGCCCCCAAGACTTCGGGTGAACGCAGGACATCGGCATCGTCCACTTGCACTCAGGCGCAGTTGGCGACGTACGGTGCGCATGAAGCCGGTCCTGCAACACCAACTAATAAAATCTAAATCGGTCGAAATATTTGCGACTCAACCTCGCCCAAAATCTCATTTGAAACGTTGCAAGCCCGTAGGCGCGGCGTGTGGTGTGGGTGGAGCGGGAGGGAGAGGAGAAGTGGGGGGTGTGGGGTGGAGGATGCGGGTCATCGTCTGCCGCGGGATGAGAGCACGTGCCACTTCGGCCAGATGGCTGCTCAGTGACAGAGCTCGCAGCTCGCCACCGCAGGAGGGGAGCGGCTTGCGAGTTTAAATCCCGGCCGGGGTCGACGAAGCCTCATCGTCCCTCCAGGGTCAAAGGTGGTTGCGCTATTGGGAGACTTGCCCCATGACAGGGATGTGGAAATTGCACTGCTCGCTCTGGGCTGTGAATAGGACGATGGGACAAATGGCACCGTCTCAATACTCTTCTGAGCGGTAAAGCAGTTTGACTGGATTCGTGCAATTATTAGTATCTTTAGGTCAGCGTGTGTGTGTGTATGTTGAACTTCTTTTGCAACATACGTAGCCAACCATGCTAATCGGAGGCGTGGGGGAAAGACAACAAATGTGTGTGTGTGTGTGTACGAGTGACTGCAGCCGCCTATGTGACCAGCTTTGTCAGAAGCTCCATCTCTTCCGGTACTATTCCCCCTCGCCCTGAAGATTGCCGCTATCGCTCCCCCCTCTTCCTGAAAAAATAAAATCCACACGGGACCCCGCAGCGTCCCGGCAAAAAAAAATTCCACCCGATCTCTAAGCTCCCTGAAGAAACATCCTGGAGGAGGCATCTTCTCCCATTCCCCCCCCTCCGCCCCTCATGGCCTCTGCCACTCAGCTCCGTCTGGTCTCAACCACCGCCGTCCACTGAGACGTCCCTCCTGCCAGAGTCCTCCCCGTCTCCTGTGAGCGTGACCACGTCAGCCCGACACCCCGATCCCTCCGCTGCATCCCGACCCGATCCCGCATCAACTTCCATATCGCACTCAGCATCTTAAATACCTTCTCCATGGCAATGTTCTTCAAGGCCGTGGGCCACTACCGAAGGCCCCGGTCACCCTCTGCTCTGTGGGACATCGTTCCCATTGTCCAAGTGATGTGCAGCCAATATAACGGCGTGTGTCCCGTTCTATCCAAAGAATACACGTGTGTGCGTGCACTCGTACCCGCGCACACATCGTCACGTAATGCGTAGCTTCGTGCGACTTCAAATGTTAATTGTGCATTTGTAAATTTGCGATTATTTTATCGCTTAAAAGAAACGTCGTGTGCCCGAGACCAAATTACCGTCAATGATTGCAGAAGCAAGCAAGTTCTTAGCCTGGCGTGTGCCACGTGAGGGCCCACCAGTGTACACCACGTGTTCGAAGCATTCGGCCGCAACGGGATGGCATTAGAGCAGTAGGTGGGATGCACAGATTTTGCTCCACTCACTAGCTTGTGTTTGTTTATTGAATCTATCCGTGTTTGCGTGGGCATTTCTCCAAGTTGTCTGCTTTTCTCCCACAAACCAAACTCTCGTTGAACAGCCATCCAACCATCCTAGTGTAGCCCCCCCCCCCCCCCCCAATGAAAGGGTCACAAGATTTGGTGAATAAACACGTCCATTGCTTCAGATATTGGACGTTGGGAAAACCTGAGGGCACAGCGATTGTCCCAATATTCAATCAGAAAATCTATTTTTTTAATTCTATATTAATCTGCAGTAAAAACCACAGCTGGGTCTCAGCTTAGAACCGAATTCAAGAGCCCAGAATCAGAATCTGTATTTATCCTGGAGGAATCTGATGAGCTATGAAGCTCTTTCTCTATGTACGTGGAACTTCTTTCGCACCGTGCGGAACCAACCGCGCCTATCGGAGGTTCGGGATTAGAATGTCATTTTTTTCTACAGAAGTCCAGGCCAGGCTTGAGGTTAGAGGGGAACATTGCAAATCTGTTAATGATGCAAAAACCCACCGTGATAGACAGATGAGCGCAGGCTGTGAATTTTTTATTTTTTTCACAACGCGCAGAGACGCATCCAGACCAACCTACTCCCCACGTGCAGTTCTCTTGAGCCGGTGGTCTCTGCAATTCCCACCTCTGTGCGTGGGTGGAGTTTTTCCTCACGGATTCTCCTTACAAAGAACCGAGACAACGTCCGTGGGGCTTTGTCATTGCTGTTTCTCGGGGGACGTTTCGCAAACTGCCGAGTCAGCGCGTAAATGCGTTCTCGGCGGCCGCATCTGTGCCGATTCCCACGGGGGCCCGGGATCTAATGTCTAATTGCAACATTGTTCTTCAGACGCCCCTGCATTTGGTCCAGGAGCATTACTCGGTCAGCGCGAGAGATTAATGACGTGACAAGAACGACACGCGCGGCTGGCTCCTGCCCAGGGTGCAGTCAGGTCTCTCAAAGCGAGGAACAAGGAGCGTGTTTTGTCTGTGTGTATGTGTGTGTACCTGTGTGTGCGTACCTGTGTGCGTGTACCTGTGTGTGCGTACCTGTGTGCGTGTACATGTGTGTGTACCTGTGTGCGTACCTGTGTGTGTGTACCTGTGTGCGTGTACATGTGTGTGTACCTGTGTGTGTGTACCTGTGTGTGCGTACGTGTGTGTGTACCTGTGTGTGTGTACCTGTGTGTGCATACCTGTGTGTGTACATGTGTGTGTGTACCTGTGTGTGTGTACCTGTGTGCGTGTACATGCGTGTGTGTACCTGTGTGTGTGGACCTGTGTGCGTGTACATGTGTGTGCGTACCTGTGTGTGTGTACCTGTGTGCGTGTACATGCGTGTGTGTACCTGTGTGTGTGGACCTGTGTGCGTGTACATGTGTGTGCGTACCTGTGTGTGTGTAAGTGATAGTGTAGCGGTTAGCGCTACGCTACGCTACAAACCCAGTGACCCCGAGTTCGATTCCCGCTCACGGCCACCAACACTGGTGACGATTATCTAAATCAGTCCTGGGCCTCCCCTAGATCGACTTAGCGTCAAATAAGTACCTGGTGCGATATGCAAACATCGCCACTGGAGAGACAAAGGCGGCCGGGCATGGTGCTGGCCACCCACCCCCTCGTGTGCCATGCCAGCCTTCATAGGTGCTGCCTGTTAAGGCTATACGTGGGATCTTTGTCTTTGACGGCAGCTCACGTCGCTCAGGAGCAGCAGGACATCTGAATCATGCGCTGTTCTGCCTCCCTTGGGATCACGCTCTCGCGCAATTTTTTATTGACTGTGAACACTGACGACTTACCACAGCGTTAGAGATGACAGTGCCGATGCTTGTGATGAAGCCCGCCGTAACCGATCCACGGTCTCTCCTGCGAGGGGCTTAACTGCGACCGTAATTACGAGGAGCGGTTTTGTCAACATCGCCGTCTAATGGGGGCAATTTGCAAACGGAGTTGGCGCTGTTCGTGCTGCGGCGGTGCCCTTCGCCTTGCGAAAGACGCGGCGGGGGGCGGATTAAAGTCCACGCGGTGCAGCAGACGGGGTGTTCCGGTAATTCCCCCCGCAAATTACCGCACGGAGCCAGACGTTCGTGCGCCCACGCTCGCGGCGTTGAACGCGCCGGTCAAAGCGGTTACCGGTTTTGCCCGGCGTGCTGACACGGACAGCGCAATAGAGTCCATGCCGCGTGGTGCATCGGCACGGTTGCCGTGACGTGTGGCGCACACGGTGAGCGCGGTGCCGCGCGGTGTATCGGCACGGTTGCTGTGACGCGTCACGCACACACGGTGAGTGTACCGGTGCGCTGCCCTCACCGCCGGATGCTTGCGAGCCGGTCGTAGTGCTGCCGCCCCGGCGGAGGAGGCAGGCGCTCGTACTCGGGCTCCCAGGCCCGCTCCGGGCCCTGCTCGCTGCTCTGCGGGGGCCCGCACACCTGCGTCACCTGCAGGGGCACGCCGCACGCATGCCGTGCCGTGTCACGCACGGCCAGGAATCGAACTCGAGTGTCTGGTTTCTTGGCGTGATGCTCACCGTGCCGTCACTCCCCCCCCTCCCCCCCTGAGTAGTTATTGATTTTTGGAATTTATCAATTTGTACGAAGACACGGTGGCCTACTCTTCTCAAACGACGTCACGAGAATCCGCAACATCCCCTGCGAGTGAGTCAGACGGCACGCAGGCATACTAGTACTTTACGGTTAATAGTCCAGAGGTGGGACAAAGTCATTGTTATGCAAGTCCAAGTCGAGTCTGAAGTCATCAAATTCATGACTCGAGTCTGACTCGAGTCCAAGTCACATGACTCGAGTCCACACCTCAGAGGTGGGACAAAGTCATTGTTATGCAAGTCCAAGTCGAGTCTGAAGTCATCAAATTCATGACTCGAGTCTGACTCGAGTCCAAGTCACATGACTCGAGTCCACACCTCAGAGGTGGGACAAAGTCATTGTTATGCAAGTCCAAGTCGAGTCTGAAGTCATCAAATTCATGACTCGAGTCTGACTCGAGTCCAAGTCACATGACTCGAGTCCACACCTCAGAGGTGGGACAAAGTCATTGTTATGCAAGTCCAAGTCGAGTCTGAAGTCATCAAATTCATGACTCGAGTCTGACTCGAGTCCAAGTCACATGACTCGAGTCCACACCTCTGGTTAATACGCCCGCAGAAATAACCGGGGCGGCCTGCTCAATTCGAACCGCAAACCTGTGCACCGAGCGGCGGACGCGCTACCGCTGGGCCGCGTCACCGCCCAGTCACGTGACAAGGCCACCAGGAAAACGAACATCTTTGAAACTGCTTTGAGTGTTCAATGATTTCCCGCTCAGATTAACCACAATGCCAAAAACAATTCCGGCTCGGGTGAGTGTCGAGGCTGTGCTCATTGCACACAAAGCGCTCGCCACGACTAAACCACGACACCTCGCTGATCTCGTCAAGGAGCATGAACCATCAACTCCTCCGGTCATCCTCGCAGCAGTCAGTGACCGCATCGCACGGAGCTTTCAGATGCGCTTCTGCGGCCGTCTGGAACACTCTCTTCCGATATTAGGAGGGCACTCGAGCTATTATGCGCTTTTAAATCATCTAGATTGTGTTTAGTTGGTTGTCCTTCCCCAGCACCTCCGTTTAGCGCAGTTGGCTACGTACGGTGCGAAAGAAGTTGAACGCGCATACACGTACACACACGTACACACACACGTACACACAGCGTACACACGCGCACACACACACACGCGTACACACACACACACGTACACACACAGCGTACACACACACGTGCACACACATACACATGTACACACACACACATGTACACAGACGTACATACACACACGTACACACACACGTACACACACGTCCACACACACACACGTACACACACACACGTCCACACACACACACGTACATACACACACGTACACACACACTGTCACGGCCGCAATACCATGGCCACGCCCCCTCGTGACGTCACCCCGAGCTCGCGCGGGGGGTGACACCCGGACAGGGCGCTGAGTCAGCGCCACCAAATTGCTTCGATGGGGCCCTGCTGTGGCCCCGCGGTGGCAGTGAGCCGCCCATGGGATCCGTCGAGTTTCATTCCTTTCATGGCTTTATTTTGGTGATTTCGAAAAGTGTATTGGTTTAGCCATGTTTGTGTTGTTGTAGTACAGAGTTAGACTGATGGCCTTAATCTAAGTTGTCTTATGGTTGTTGTTGTTGTTTGACTTGCATCCCACTGGGATTTTTGCACACAGCGTTGGTGTACGGTGTTTTTTTCTGCAATATTTTGCTGTCTTTTCTTGGATTTTCTGTTTGCACTCAGTCACATATTTACTTTAAGATGTTTTCTTGTTCATGTTTTTGTTTGTTGCGGTTGCACCCGATTCAAGAGCCGAATGGCTCGCAGGGCTATACCTAATAAATGAACTTGAGTTACCGATTAACCCCCCCCCCCCCCCCCCCCGTGTAGCCTCAACAGACTTCTGGGGCAAGTGCTGTAAGCGAGGAGCACCGATGAAGGCCGGCACAGGACACGAGGCGGTGGGTGGCCAGCACCACGCCCGGCCGCCTTTGTCTCCCCAGTGCCAATGTTTACACGCTGCACCAGGTACTCATTTGAGGCCCAGGACCGGTTCAGTTAATCGTCACCGGTGTTGGCCGTGAGCGGGAATCAAACTCGGGTCGCCGTGTTCGTAGCGCAGCGTGGCGCTAACCGCTACACACGCGGACACACGCAGGGACACGCACGCCATAGGCACGGACACACTCACACATCCACCTCTAGAGACCTAGTCAGGGCACCAGCAGGGTCGTTTATCTCTCCGCTCGCGGGGTGCCGTGCCGCGCACGTGTGCGCAGTGTGGGGGCTCAGCGTTCAAAATCCCATTTGCTCATCACTCTCAGAGTGAAGTTTGTGTGGCCAGGCGGGAACAGAGCATTCTCGTTTGCAAGAGTGATGGCTTGGCTTGTCACCACATCGACAGGAGCAAATCACGTCCAGTGCGGCAATGCAACGGACAGACACCTTCAGCACACTCCCACGCCCCACGCAGCGCAAGCCCCATCAACTCTCAAGTGGCTGCCGCTCTCTCTTCTGACGGCAGCTGAAGTTGAACTAAAACTACTCAAACTATTTTTTATTTTACCAGGTCGGGCCCACTGAGCTATGTTAGCTCCTTTTCAGACACGACCCGGCCACAAATGAGAGCTCGACGAAGTGGCTTATCATCATCACGTGGAAATGTATAGCAGTAGCCGAATACTCTAAACGCGTGATGTCGATTCTAAATGTGGAGGGAAAACCGGAGGACCCGGAGAAAAAATCCACGCGACTACGGGGAGAGAGACACGAAAACTCCAAATATACAGCAGGCGTCAAGGCTGGAGTCGAACCCACGACCTCATGTGTACCAGGCGAGGTAGTTAACATCTCCACACTGTTGGCGGGATGCTAACAAGAACTCGCCAATCATTCGCTTTCACGGTCATTTTTGTTTACCCCGAGGACGACCGGGAGAGACCTCCTCTCGTCCATGTAGACGCGAGGGACCGATTGCGCTCACCGCCACGGAGATCTTGGGCCCGTTGAGCTGCGCGTGCATGATGGCCTCGTTGAGCTGTGCGTGCAGGTTCAGCAGCACGCCCTCGGGGTCGCCGGAGCCGTGCATCTCGGCCGACAGCTCCTCGACGGCCCGCACGAGCTCCATCCACGGCCCGCTCATCTCCGCCAGGCTCGCCAGGCAGCCGCGCAGCACGTTGAGGCAGTAGCCGATGCAGGCCCGCGCGGGACGCGGCCCCGCCGCCGCCGCCGCCGCCGCCGCCTCGGGGCCGCACAGCGGGCAGTAGCGCAGGCGCGCCAGGGCCCGCGTGCAGGAGCTGTCGCGCGGCGTCGCCGCCAGCTCCGTGGCGTTCACGGCCTCGAGGCCCGAGCCGAGGGCGCCGGCGAACGCGCGCAGCGAGGACAGCGAGCGGCCCAGCTGCGAGGCGATCGCCCTCGGGAAGGGCCCGAACGGCCTCAGCTCCGCGCGGTTGTGGCGCAGGCACTCGCTGAAGGGGGGCGCGAGGCCCGACAGGCCCGGGTTGATGAGGCGGTTGTAGACGAGCGGGAAGAGGCCGTCGAAGAAGGAGGTGGCCAGCTCGTGGGGGTCGGCGCGGGAGCCCAGCACGTACTGGCGAGCGCCGGCGAAGAGGTCGCGCACGGGCCCCGCCGCCTCGTGCTCCAGCGCCCGGTACACGTCGCGGAAGAGGGCGCCCACGCGGGCCTCCGCCTGCTCCGACAGCGCCACGAACGCCTCTGCAACGGAAAGGGCGGCGCGCGCGTCACTGCGCCTGCTCCCCCACGGGTCGACTCAGCCTTAAACGAACACCCGGCGCGGTGTGCGAACGTCAGCATTGCGGGGAGGCGAAGGTGGATCGGCGGGGCGTTGGTGTTGGCCACCCACCTGTGCTCGGTGACGCCAATTTCCACTACGTTCAACCTCGGCACAGCAGGTCACCTCGCTTTCCTCTGACCCCGTGCCACTACTAGACATCTGTGAGAAAGAGCTTCACAGCTCATCGGTTTCCCCCTGCAGGTTAAATAAAGATTCTGATTCTCTTTCTGCTTCTTCCCTTGCGCTGCACCAACTGGAATCCCCTCCCGTCGTCTCTGTAACCCCCCACGTCCCCCCAAAGCTCTTATAGCAACAACAACAACGTTGCTTAATTTAACAAATGTGTTTCAACAATCGCAGCTACGGTAGCGCTCTGACATTTTGGGCCCTCTCTCGCGGTGCTTGCGCTCAGCGATCGCACGAAGAAGAAAAACCGATGGAGCCGGCGCTGCTTGCGGAGGACCACGCCCGACTCGTCGGCTTCCACGTGACCACGGCTGCGCATTTGCGCGAAGCATACTCTCGATGGCGTAGAACGGCGATCGCGGCAGCAGTCCCATTACACGCCACGTGATCTATTTTTTTCAAGGTTTCTGTACTTACTCTTTGTTTCTTTCGGTACTCTTTGGTTCTTTCGGTAAAGTCACGTGGGTATAAAATAAAATAAATCACGACGTTTCGGGCGCAACAGAAGCGTCCGTCATCAGGTGGGAAAGCACGGTCTGCTGCTGAGGCAGACTGTTTTAAAAGGCTTGAAATGTACTTCAACGTCGGAGAGTTCAAACCGTGGGCGTGATTACCGCTGCTCGGAGACAAACAGGATCAGCGCAATTTCCTCGCGGTTTGCCGAGCGTCCCGTCCGCGCGTTTGTTTGTCCGGACGTTGGACTTCCACCGCCGTGTGAGGTCGTGGCCACCGCGGCCTCCCTGCGGCAAAAAACCTGCCGGGGTCAGGTGGTTCCAAGCGTGCGCCCGTTGGGGACGCGCGTGGTGTCCTTTTGAGCAATTCGGTTGATTTGGTGTTCGCGTCATTCTTACAGCGCCAGGCGATCGTCACGGGGTAAGCGGCCGTGTTGCGCAGACACGGACTGCAGTATCGTCGCAGTAGGCAGTGACGTGGCTGCTGTGTGTGATCCCAGTTGGGTCATTTGCGGGGTGATTTACCAAATTTGGCGGATTCGGACGGGCGCACAGAAGGCAATTCGTTTCTAACGACATCATGGGATGTCGTTCGGCGGCACGCAGTCTGTTGCACGGTTAACAAAACACACCCACTATAACGACCGGGTATGGCCTGCCAGATTCAAGTGGCGGACGTCTGCAAGAAGCGCCAAGCTCGTGACCCCTGAGGCCGCACAACCACCCAAACTCTCCCGGCAAGGCCCATGGCGCGACATCAGAAGCGTCCTCGCAGGACGCGGGCGCTGTCACAGCTGCCACGCGGCGCGAGCTCCCCACGTGTGCGGGCACGGCAGGTGCGGCGCGTGGCACGGGAGGTGCGGTGATGCCTCCCGGCCAGTCGCCGTGCCATAGACGGAATTCCCAGATGCCACCCTCCCCCCCCACAACAACCGACTCTGGAAAAGCCACGGTGGGCGAGGCCTCTGTGAAACGCTCCGAATCCGCCCGAGCCGACTCGTGCCACAGGGAGTTCACATTTCAACGTTTACTTTCATTCGGGCAATAGAGATTTTATTTGTCACGTGACGCGGTTGTTTCTTTCTTCTAAATTTAGATTTGCTTCAATGCTGTACTTGAATTACTTAAAAGACCAACGTGTGCCAGATCGCAATCAAAACGCAAAAGTTCAAAACGTCTGGCAGCCAAACAGACAATGTTCGTGTCAATGTCTTCCGAGCGTCCCTTGCACAAGAATTTATATATTTTGGTTAAAGCAGAGGAAACCGATTATAATTATCAGCGTCAGTGATGAGTGAAGATACCGTCCTCCACAGCCAACGAGATTCCTTGTGGAACGGGAGACCGTCCACTGGCTGAGGCCAATCAGGGAACACGCTCCGTGCCGCGGTGTAAATATTTAGGTTGTGGAGCACTGTGAGAAGAAACCCCTGGAACTGCGATGTCTCTAAGGGGGGGGGGGGGAAGAATGCGAACGCACACGGCGACTGATCCGGCTAATAGGCGACGTGTGCCAGACTCTACGGCCAGCAACGGCAATCAGTGCCGAGGTTACGGAACGCTCGCAGAGGTGCACATTGTGTGTACGTGGAGGTTAAAGATCCCGTGATGTAACACGAAGTGACTTGGCCTGTGTGTGCCAACGTCACGGTATAAGAATATATGTATCTACGTTGAACTTCTTTCGCACCGTACGTAGCTGACCGTGTTAATCGGAGGTGCAGGAGAAATACAACAAACTAAACACAGAAAGCAGTTTTAAAGAAACGAGTTTTCAAGCTCGTTGATTGAAAAGTGCATAGGTCCAGTGGCTTCCTAATATCGGAAGGTTCCTCACAAGCTGCACTGCGGGTCCCAATGTCTGCGTGACCATCAATAACTTGAGCGAGTGTAACCGACCAACAGGCAGAGACAGCCGCAAACCGTTGACTTAGACGAGAGGGCCACGAGGCAGTTTTACAGGAACTGATGGTCTTGCACATTGCTTAAGGCCCCAGGGCTTTTCGTGCACGGAGTGGCACATCCATTTGCGCTCGTGCCTCGTCAGTTGCAGCTTTTAAACGAATGCGCCCTGTGTTGTTATGATCGTCAGACTTGCGCGCAGTTTACATGACGCGCACACCACGGGAAGAACAAACCCGGGCCGCATCTTGAGCCTTGAGAATGCGGTCCACAGCCCTTTTTTAGATCCCCTGCTGGATAAGGTTCTCCCTCCCTCCCTCCCCCTACCGTGTCGGTCGTACGGGTTGGGAGATCGTACTTCACTCGGCCGGTCTACGCGGAGTTGGTAAAGGGAGCAGAAACGATGCAATCACTTGTCAGCCGAGGCCGGGAATCAAACCCTGCAGTCCTCATTAGTGTGGCAGTGATTGGTTAATGGCAATCACGGAGCTGTCACTTATCGGAGTCGTCATCCAGGGAGTCAGCTGTTCCTGCTGGCCTCTGCGGGCATCGGCGTCTGAGCCTCGGGGCCCAGAGATTAGCCCGGGGCTGTGATTCCCCCCCCCCCCCCAAGCTCTTTACAATAACATCGTCGCTCAAATCCAGGAAAGTGTTCGTAACTCTCATCTAGCACAACTTTGATAACGGTGGTGGTGGTGGTGGCGGTGGTGGTGGTGGTGGCGGTGGTGGTGGTGGCGGTGGCGGTGGCGGTGGTGGTGGCGGTGGTAGTGGCGGCGGCGGCGGCGGCGGTGGTGGTGGTGGCGGTGGCGGTGGTGGTGGCGGTGGTAGCGGTGGCGGCGGCGGCGGCGGCGGCGGCGGTGGTGGTGGCGGTGGCGGCGGTGGTGGCGGTGGTGGTGGCGGCGGTGGTGATTGTTGTTGCCGGCGATTTGACAGTTGTTGGGGCTACGCTCAGCAAAAACTGTGTTCAAGAAACAAAGACAAACACGCACAGCTCCCATTGTTCACCATAAACCTTCCCAGAGCTGCCGTTCCAGAGCATCCTCATCCTCCTCCTCGAGTTCTCCTCATGTGGAACCAATATATATATTCAATATATTCAATATATATTCATGAGGAATCCGCGCAACAATTAATGGGCGGCAATGCTTGCTTGGACGTGCAGTTTTACGTTTTACCGCAGGATTTATTGCTCAGAATGCAAAACATCTTTGCCGTGCGCGCGCGCGCTCGTGTGTTTTACAAACGTTATCTCTATCTCGCGGGCCATACATCACTCGACAAGAGTTACTTCTCCGGCATCTGCTTTCTCTTCGTGAACTGTAAAAGAAACTGGCGTCGAATGTGAACGGCACTATTTGTTCGCGGAAATGAAACTTTGAATGAAAAAAAGGCTTTTTTTTAATTCTGATAATAAGTTTGGGTAGAGAGCTCGTAAACTGCTTTGTGGGGAAAGTTAAAAGCCTCTGAGGGACAATGAGACTCGCTCGTGTCCAGTAAAACGCGTTAGATGTTGATGGATGTTGCTGATTAATGAGGTTCAAAGACTTCGAACGTAGACCCGTGCTCGCGCGCATTCTTTGGCGAAACGGGGGTTAGAAGTTGCTTTTACTTTCTTTGCCGGGGAAAATATAAAACTCGTGTGGTCGTTTTTCTCCGAAAAGAAACTCAATAGGCGGATTAAAAGTGTTGTGCTGTGCGCGACTGGCTGGTGGTTGTTTTGCCAGGGCACGTAATGGACAACAGCGCCATTCCCCCCCCCCCCTCCTCCAGAGGCCCAAAGTTTCACGTTCCTTGGAAACATTGCGAGTTTTCCGCAGCAATATAATCAAAGAGGCCCTTGGCTAATAAACTACTCAGGAACCTAACACCAGCAGGGCGGGCGAGCGAGCAAGAGAGAGAGAGAGGCAGAACATTGTTTATTAATGTCATTAAGATGTTGGAAGGGAGGTAAGCGACCTGCGCTGGAGGCATATTAAGAAGATAATGTTTGTAAAACACCCAGAAAAGCATTCTCCATTAGGTGAGCGGCGCGTCTACAGAGGAAACACGAAGCCACGCGCTAACAATCCACAATAGCCCCGCTTCATGGACACCACGGACCCCCGGTGGCACTGCCGTGGCGCGCGGCTGCACGAAGCTCTGCCACTGACCTGGGCTCAACTCCCGGCCATGCACGGAGGAGCCTGGTCTGGGCCTCCCCTAGGTCGACTCAGCCATGTCACATCGGGCACTGCTTTCATGCTGACGCCGCCCTTTCTATCCTGTGGTTCTGGCCATGGGAAGTGGGGAACGAGTGTCTCGCTGGAGACACAAACTTGGCACCTCGTGGCTTTGACGTGTAACCGTCGACCACAACATTTAGCAGGCCGAGGCGCACGGCC